TAATTTGTCACTGGTAAAACTAACTGCCAGAAATTAGTTCTAAACTCTTTAATAGCTCTATTTTTAAACTACTTTGAAAGGTAAAGCTTTAATCTATAACTCTACAACTATAATTCAATCATTACTTATCACTGAACACTGACAGTATTTTGTATTTTTCAAAAGATTTTGTTTAATAGAACCTGTTTGTCTTTCTGTTAAGGGGAAAAAAACCAAATATATGTAGTAGTTATATCATATGTGCCCTCTAAGGAGTTAGCCCACGTCCAGTGCCTGACAGTATAAAGCTTCAGTTACAGTTTGTGTTTTACTAGAACGCCCCTGAATCAGTTGTAAAGCGAAACGTTGAGTGTCTAATTAAAGAAAAAGAACAAATTTCGTGTAATAAGGTCGTTTATTTCTAGTATTAAACATAACCAACCAACCAAATCTTTTATTCAATGTCTCTGTATCAGTAACATGATTAATTCCTTATAAAATGTACATAATAACACTACCTATCAGGTGTCAAGATATACATTGACTTGTGACATTCCATCATGTTAATCATGTCTGTTTGTTTCAGAGCAAAGCCACATTGAGCTATCTATCTGCTGTGTCCACCTCGGGGAACCTAACCCCGGACTTTAGCGTTGTAAGTCCGTAAACTTCCCGCTGTCCCACTGGGAGAAACCACTTAGGTTAATCATGGCACACACATACAATTAAAAGTTTAATCATAACATACGTACACAATACGACTTACATTATATTATAAGTTAAACAAATAATTATGACATACGCATACAATAATAACTCTTAAATTATACAAACGAAGAGATAGCAGCTGTGTGCAGGATTCTGAATAAAGAACAGTTTCCTAGATAGTAAGTTTCGTTATATATGACTTTTTTCTTTTTTATTACTATCCTTTCCGTTTTTATAAATACATCCAAATACAACCTGTACTGAGTAACTTACGAAGAATGTTCGTGACTTGTGTCCAATCCACTTTAATCCTTATTTCCTTACATGCAACATTTTTTTTTTATGGAAATTATCGACAACACGCTAAGCAAAATGTACTATTTTGTGTTTCATGTAATAAAAACCAAGACTTCCTGGAAGTTTCGCCCCATAACAAAATGTAAGCTTTAACTAGATGATCCTCACGTAATTAAAATCTTAAGTAAAAGCTTTTCTGTCATCGTTACTGCAGTTGTCTCCACGCTTTATAAAGCACCATTGTGTCGTATCTTTACGTTAGGAAAAATGGTACAAATTTTTTTTTGCATAAGAAGGCTGTATGAGATTTGGGAAAAATAGCACAGTGACATTAGTAGAAATAGTCTAACGAGGACTAATTCAGAGTGAAATTAGTAGAGATAGTCTAGCAAGAACTAATTCAGAGTGATATTAGTAGAGATAGTCTGGCAAGGACTAATTCAGAGTGACATTAGTAGAGATAGTCTAGTAAGGACTAATTCAGAGTGAAATTAGTAAAGATAGTCTAGCGAGGACTAATTCAGAGTGACATTGGTAGAGATAGTCTAACGAGGACTAATTCAGGGTGATATTAGTAGAGATAGTCTAGCAAGGACTAATTCAGAGTGAAATTAGTAGAGACAGTCTAGCGAGGACTAATCTACAAAAGTAATTCAGGTAGAAAGATTGGTTTCATTATTTGTTTGTTGGGTTTCGTGCAGAGCTTCTCGAGGACCATCTGTATTAGTTATCACTAATTTATAAGTGATAGACTAGAAGGAAGATACCTATTCAATATCGCCTACAGCCAACTCTTGGGTTACTCTTTTCCAACGAAAAGTGCGATTGACTGTTACATTATAAGCGTCTTCACGGCTGATATGGCAAGCATTTTTGGCGAGAGAATTCAAATCCGCGACCCAAAAATTAGAAATCGAGCGCCCTAACCATCAGACCATACCAGGCCCAGATAGAAAAGTTAACGTTTCGAAAAAGTTACACCTTTCGTCTTCAGATCTGTTTGACCTAAAGACGAAAGACAGGAGTCATTCGAAACTTCGTTCTTTCTACCTGAGTTACTCTCCAAAACTGCCTCTATAAGTGTCACTCTGAACTAAGCAGTTGCTGTCCATTTCATCTTTGATTGTTCAAGTTTATTTGTTTATTTCAGAATATTCGCGCATAGCTACATAAAGGGCTAAGATATAGATTGGTCTTAAATCCATATACCAATTGGTCTTAAGTCCATATAGTAAGCTAAAAATACAAATGAATCTTCATGAGTGTAAAAATAAATAATGATCAAAACTAACACAACAAATAATTTTAATGACACTAACTTTGAAAAAAAAATTATCAGTGCTTACAAAATACATAAAACTAGACATTTGCACAAATACCAATAATACCAATAAATAAAACTTGCACATACGTATAATGTGCTTACATTAATCCAAAAATAAAAACTGGTCAAAGACAGGAAATAAAACAGGCCACAAATCATTCGTTCTGCCTTCACAAGTTACTAATCATTATAATTCAATACATAAGTGTATATGTGTGTGTGTGTATTTTGCACGTACAAAAGTCCCAACCCTATAAACTAAAGGTTCGACAATTGTGTTTTGTTTGTCGTGAAAAAGAGTCCCTTCAAAGGGCAAGTGTTACTCGCCAATATTATCAATCAATACGTTATATACACGTAGTTAGAGCAGACACACTCTTTCTAACATAAACACAAACCAAAGTTTAGGGGAAATGCTGTAGAACTAAAAGTTTAAAGCTGGAGAAGAATAAACTGAGAGGGTACAGCCCCATAAAAATTAGTCCTTGTTAGACTATCTCTACTAATTTCACTCTGAATTAGTCCTTGTTAGACTATCTCTACTAATTTCATTCGTAATTAGTCCTCGTTAGACTATCTCTACCAATGTCACTCTGAATTAGTCCTTGCTAGACTATCTCTACTAATGTCACTCTGAATTAGTCCTCGCTAGACTATCTCTACTAATTTCACTCTGAATTAGTCCTTGCTAGACTATCTCTACTAATATCACTCTGAATTGGGCAGTTGCTGCTAATTTCACCTGTTTGGCAGCCAAGAATTTTCTGCCTAAATCATTTATAAAAGAAAAAATTCTGCATCACTACAATAAATAAAGTGTTCCTTATATATATATATATATACAAAAATATGTTTCACTTTTAAAATAATACCTTCCATCTATAATTGGAATTCG